TTTTCAAAAACCCCTCCCATGAAAAATGGCTGGCTACGATACTGCAACGGATTCAAACTGCTATTGATCATATTCCTAAAGGGCTGAAATAGAAGCTGCTGACAATTCAACTAGATAGAGACTTAATATTTGCATTGATAAAGATGGAAAACAATTCGAGCACTACCTCTAATTCTTGTATTGCATTTTGTTTTTGTTGAATTAGATCTTCTCTACTTACTCTATTACTATTTTTTCTATTCTTTTCTGTTTTTAGTTGTTTGTTTGTTTTATTTTGCAATTAATTTATTTGAACCAATAAACCTAAACTATAGAGGTACCTAATTAAAATCGGATTTTAATAGTTATTGTGTTAATCATCAAAGCCAACTGGATTAATATATACAGAATTGTTTATATTAATATCTAGGTGGACTTTTTACCATTATAGACATTTGCTTATATTCCGTTAGGAAATAGATAATAGGACCCGGTTTTTACTGTTTGTTGTCAAAATTGAATTCTCTTTTTAAAACCTGTACAAAAATTATTCCATTCCATTAAAAATTTACAAAAAAAAACTTCGAAAAAAATGCTTACTGTTTAATCAACGCCACCTAGTGCTCGTTTAAACAACTGAATCAGAACTATATTAAAATATTTTACTAAAAAATCAATTTGTTTTTGATTAAGTTTTCAAAATCTGATAAACGACACCGCAGTTTTATTAAATTACCGTTTCCAAGTCATGAATTTTAGATGAAAGTATTGAACTCATTTTTGGGTAGGTAAACATTTATAGAAAATTGACGCACATACCGTGAAACGGGGTTACTTTGGCAGATTTTGACCTATTTTGGAACTCTAAGTCAGAAACCGATTGGAAAATCAAGCTTCTTAAAATTGCATCGTCCTTTGTACTCAATTGACAATAGATCACCCAAATATGGTTCGTTTTTATAAACCGCATGTTGAAAAAAAAAATTAATTATGGGTTGCCAAAGTAGGCAGATTTTTGAAGGCTACTCTGGCAGCACATGCAAATCTTTTTTGCGCCAATATAGAGGCTATATAAAGCCCTTTTTAGCACCAAATATGATAAAGGACGGAGGCACAAAAAGGCAGCTTTGAGTTTGGTTCAAATATCTTTCATAGTTCCAAAGTTATTGAAGTTAGAATGCATTTCTTTTTAAGAAATCAATTATTTATCTAACCATTATAAAATAACTAACTAAAAAAATATTTCTGAACGAAAAATAAACATAAATTATTAAGAAGTTCACTAGGAAACGTAAAAACTAAATATTCAACACATTATAAGGTCTTTTACGAAAAAAAATCCGAATCTTTTAAAGAGTCATCACTGTCAAAATCTTCATTTCTTGCAACAAATCCAATCAGGCACTGTATAATTCTTCCACTTTTTCAAACAAGCTGCGCAGACATCGTCTGTTCTTTTAACAGCCCTTTTTTGCTTGCTTTCCCATTGCTTTTTTTGTAGAAACTGCAACTAACTTTGTAAGATGTTTGTCGTCACTATCATCGTCGCTAATGTTTTAAATGTTTTTCTGGGTTCCTGATGGGCCAGCGACTGGTTCATTTGATTGAGGAGCAACTATCTTAAGTTGTTTACCGGACTCTATTTTCTTGCCACGCGATCGAGTGACCTTTTACTTATTTGAACCACGCAGATGTTGAAGCAGATCAATTAAGCTGTCATTTAGGATAGCAGCTTGGGCATTTTCGTCATCGCCTTAGATTTGCATGTCTTGAATTCTTTTCCGAACTTCTTGAGGATTGACAGGACAGAGCCCTGTGGCCCTAAATCCAGATCTAAAATTATTGGACATATTTTCAGTGACTGCAACCCACAATCGATTTAGGAGGTCAGGAAAATATTCTTTCGGAATGGAGGAAGTTGATTTGGTTTACTGCGCCATTTGTCTAGAATCTGACGCTACTTTTTTTAAACGGGGCAAATATTGCCGCATCTAATAGTTGCATTAGGTGGATGCTGTTGGTAGGCAACGCTGTCATGTAGATATTATTGTCCTCACAAGCTTCAATGACAGTGGGTGAAAAATGAAAGGCTAAATTGTCCCAACCACAATTTTTTTTCAGGATTTTTAATTTTAATTTTGGGCAATAAAATTTGGAAAAACCACTTTTTAAATTAGTCCGTATCGAACCAGCCGCTAGGTGTGTTACTATACTATAGACTGTTCCAGGAGAACCACCTTCTGTCCAACCTTCGTATAGATTGCCTGCTTTATACACTACCATAGGATATAATAAATCTCCTGCATCGTTTTCACACACCATTATACTGTTTGAGGCCTTGGAATGCTGTTGAACTCTCTCCACGCGTTCAGTTCCCCTTGGAACAATCACCTTTTTGGTTCAATGATCATCTTGGACATTAGTTTCATTGTAATTGAAACCCAAAGGAGGGTCAATATCTTGCAAAACATCTTTATTGTTATCAAAAAATTCGTCAATTTGATTCGGCCCTACCGCCGCACGCGTTCGCTTTATGTTTGCAGCCAAACGGACACTCAGATTATTCCGGATTATGAAGATTTCAAGAAAATCTTGTTCAGGAACATTGTCTTCAAACTCCTTAACGTTACGTTCCATTTTGGTGTTATTTTTTTTTTCAAAAATTGATATGTTTTGTGTGGTACTGATTTTGAGGACTTTAATTTCGTTTATGTTTATTTGGTTGAAAATTTAACGCATACGTATGTTAATTTCATTTTTACAGAATTTCAATTTGTTTAAATTGTAAAATTTCACACTTAATAAATATTCAAAATTTATTTAAGAATATGGAGTTAAATACAATTTAGATTTGAGTTAACTCATTTTTTATAATGAAAAACCAACAATCGTAAATAATGGCGAATGCGCTTCAACAGAAGCAAACGATTATTTTTCTCGTAAATAATGGCGAAGGCGCCAAAATAGCACAAAACAGGACATTATTATTTTCTTGGGCAATTAAAAGTAATTTTTTTATCAATATTATAAGTATAAAAACAAAACCTGTAAATTACAGGGATGGCTTCTTGTCAAATTTACAGAGATGACAGGAATTTTAGATAAAAGGCATTGATTAACAGTGTTTTAGTTGTTCTAAAAAATCATTATACATATAAAAGTTGCAATAGAACAGAGAAATTGCCATAATAAAATTATTACTTTTTTTTGAAACATTAGGTTTTTAAAATATCCATTAAAAATTTTGACACAAGGTTTCTTGATCTAACAAATGATTCCTTTATGTAAAAATTGTTGAACAATAAATCCTGATCCTTAAATATTTTATTAAAGAATAACAATTAAAATGTTGCCTATTTTAATAAACTAAAAATATATTGTTATTTTTCAAGTCAAGAAACACCTTTCACCAATTTTCTTGTGTCCATTCAAACATTTTTCGCATCAAGAAAAACAATATTGCAATGTTAATTTCAATAATCTGTATTTATGTTATCTTACAGCTTTTACAATAAAATCCGGTCGGCTTTAAACCCTGTAAGTACAGGAGTTCCGCAAGGATCGATTTTGGAGTCGTTACTTTTTTATCATATACATAAATGATTTATGTATTTTTATGAAACATTGTCATAGTATATTATTTGATGATGATGCTACCTTATTCTATTCAAGTGATAACTACTAATATCTAACTAGTCTAGTGACTATTTGTGAATATTTATTTTAAAAACTCTGCGAATAAAAAAATTCTATTTCTGACTTTTAATATTATTTTTTGGGTACAATCTTCGAAAATTTCACAGTACTCCTGAGACAGATACTAAATTCATTCAGCGTTATTACACATTTTAGTTGTTATTTTTGTTTTGTTGTTTGTTGCCTTTTTATATATTTTAGCGAAATAAAGAGACTCAAAATCAATACAATATAATATTTATTGATAGTAAAGTAGACTAATTTCGACCTACTAAGATCATCTTCAGGCAATAGTTATTATAAACATAAACATTTTGCAGGGTGTTCTCGGATGGTCTGAAAAGGAGGAAACACTTTCTTATTTTCATCTTTTCGAAAAAAATTTATTCTTCATAAAAGTTTTTACTTGTTTTAAAACTAACAATAATAAAAAAAGTTAAATATCCTTTGCTTTAGTGAAATAGTGAAAGTTGTTTGCAGTCACAATTTGGAAATTTTAAAAGAAAAAAATATGGGCGGGAATTAATTTTGTTTCTCAAGATACAATAAAATATGTAAAAAAATTTCACGCAAAGCTGAAAAATATATTGACTGGATGGTTATCATGGTGAATAATATATCAAAAAAATCTTTATTTTTTGTATTATTTCAAATTTCAAGAAAAATTCAACTTCTGTTTGAATTATCATTTTCAAAAAGGGTAAATAGAATAACATTTTCTTCAAAAGTTAAAAATAAAAAAGGTTTTCTTTTTCTTCAGTTCATTTGGAGAAACCCTGTATATTGTTACACTTAAAAGTTATGACAATGAAACAAAAAATGTGTGGTATCAGAAGCAATTCTTTTAAAAGGCAACAACATTAATTAAATAAGAAAAAAGTACATCAAGGAATTTTTTTTTTTACTAAATATTACTAAACTTTGTACCGGTCGATAAAATAAAATTAAGTGAAATAAAATACAGTTTGTGATAAAAAGTCGTTAAAGTGCAATAAGGTCACTCGTTTGGTCGTCGGTTGGCTTTAATGTTTTCCTATTTACAATAAACGATAATAACATTCACCAAGATAACCACCGTAGGTGCAATATCAATCAAATTTTATCCGCATTAGCCACCCGTTCAACCCTTAAGCACGCATTAAACTCGTCATATAAGGCCGCGAATAATAGCGGCAGTGTTGAAACTTCTTCCACCTAAAGGCATAGCATACAGGTCCGTGGTGTGCGCCTGTCCCGTCGACGTCGAGCGTCGCTTTTCGTCCAGTCTACCGCGAGCATTTCGCCATGTCGTTTCGTTTCTCGAGCCCTCCGCTCAAATAGAGTTGATGTCGAGACCCGAACAGGAAGCGCCACAATCGGCGTCCACCGGACATGACAACCGCGACGAGGAGGACGTATCGTCCCCCAGGTCTCGGCGACCCGTGTCGTATCCGTGCGGCCCGGAAAGCAGCGTCGAGCTCGACGTCTTCAATCCGCAAAAGAGACTTTCGGATCCGCTGCGACCGCCTCCGTCGAAGAACAGGACCCAGGTGAAACCCTTCACCAAGGAGTCGTTGGAGAAGTTGCAGAAAAAGACTGTGCAACTGGTGCGGGAGTACGGCTTCCAGCCGAGGAGGAAGTTGAGTGTCGAGGACGGGTCGCGATTGCCGGCAAAGTTTGAACCGTTTCCCACCAAGCTGTATGGCAGGCCATTGGAGGAGATCGACAATTTCATATATGATGAGGTGGGTGCGCGCATGCGTGTTACCGCTTCGAATAGATTTTCTTTGCTTTAACGGAAATGCATTATGAAACATTAAGGATACTGCTACAAACTATAATATTGTAGGAAAAAAATACGAATAAATAATAAAAATATTCCTAAATTTAGAAGGGTATCGAATTTTCCAGACTGAAAAGAATAATTAAAGCTCAAGTGCAAGAAACCTATAAAAAATATGTGATCTCTATCAAAAATAGTATTGTTATTATTCCAGAAACTTTTTGGGCACTGAAACTTCTATTGTTAAAGGTTTCGTAAATTATTTTGAAAGTGTCTATATTCCAACAAAATTTATCACTAACAACTCAGAAGTAAATCATATTCATTCCATGCTGCAATATTTCACAAATTTCTGAAAACCATATTTTAAAGGCAATTAATAAACTTCCAAATAAATTCATAATTGGAATTGACAAAATTCCTAGTCCTCTTCTAACAGATTGTGCTAATGCATTTGTAATACCAATATTTAAAATTACTGAGGCCCTTCCTATGGGGCCTCAGTATTGTATTCGTGCAGACGAAGAAATTTTCTGACCCCCATTTTTTAAAACTTTTTTTCATGTTTCTGATCATTCTGAGTCAGAAAATGCAAAAAAAAATCGTCTGGTCGTCTGTGTGTATGTATGCCGACACGATAACTCTAGAACGAAAGTTCTGATTGACTTGCGGTTTTGATTTCCTTGAATAATTACTTGCAACTTAGAACCCTATTGAATTTCAGAATTTTCGGTTCATCCTAACTACTTTAATATTAATTTTCTGAAAATCCGCCTATGCATTCCTTATGTGACAATTTTAGGAATTCCAATTATTTACAACGTCAAAATTCCTAACATTCTTTACATTCCATAAATTGCAAACATTCTCTAACGACCTGTCAAACAACAGTTGTTGATAGTAAAGGTGAAATTTCTAAGGCGGGTTGCGACCTTCATACTTGGCAACCATAGCCATTTTGGAGACTATTTTTATTCGAAATTACTCGCCAAGCCTGCCAATTTAAGAAAAATATATAAGCAGTTTCTTAAAAATTACTTTTATATGGTGGTGCTATTAAGCGTACTACTATTTTGCCTCTAGCCACAAAGACACCTTTATCAAATTTACTAGTTCTCTGTCGCAACCCCATAGAATAATTAACCGGTCATTTTATTTGGCAAAAATCAGAATAATGCTTGGCTGTGCCTGTCAAGTAGCAAGATGTCAACTGTGATATGTGAATAGCTCTTAAATGTCAAATTATTTAAAAATGTATACTTCTTTTGATATTTATTGCAAATAATTTGTAGTGTATCTCAATTCAGGCTTTCCATAAATAAAGTTACAGCAAGATAGATAATATAATGTTCTTATACAAAGTACTTTTTTATTATATAAAGGAGAGGTAGGATATAATGCCCATTTCAAATTTGGATCAATTATGATACCGAGGTATTTTGTTGTGTTTTTCATTTTAATTATAAAGTTGTCATTTATTTGTATGCTGAAAGAAGGCCTTTGTAAATTATATTGCTCTCTATGGATCTACTTTAACACAAAAATAGTTTTGTGGCTATAAGTTGCTATAACCTATCGTCGCAAAACTACTAATAATTTAAACATAGTAAGTAGTATTAATATAACATCAAGTAATTTTTTAAAATAAAGTACATGATCTCAAAACAAATAATCTATAATAAATACGGATAAAACGAGGGGTAAAATAACAATAAATTAAGGGAAATACTTTAAAAGGGCAGGTTTAAAGAGTATTATCACAGGAAAGTATATTCGTTCTGTTTATTTATCAAGTATTGTTTCAGGTTACTTTTGAATAGATTTATTGTTTTTTCTTTTAATTTCTGTAGGCAGTCTATTACATTTTTTAAACCTTTAATAAAAATTGTATTTTGGGAACTTTTAGTGATGGCTTGCCGTACATGAAAGTCAGATTGGCTTCTTGTATTATAGATGTGATATTGCAAATTATATTAAATTTTTTCTAATAGATCTTATGCGATGATACTGTCATTTTTATTTTATAAATAAATATCAGTTATGTACTGAACATAATTCTGAACTGAAAGCCAATTTATTTATTTTAACATAGTTGTAATATTCATCCTTCTGTCCTTTATTAATAGAATAAATAGGCGAAGTAAGGAGCCCAAATATTTTATATGAGCAGGCTTTAGAGGTAAAGGGGCCAATTATTATTGGATAAATTGCTCGAACAAGTTTTTAAATCCTAATCAAAAGGCGATATAGAATGGTTTTAAAAATCAAGGCTTGTGAAAATCATCACATGGTTTAACTTAAGTAATGCCAATGCTTCACAAACCAAAAAAGTCAACGTGCTACTGCTAATACTACTATCGACTTTCGGTATTTCGTTCCAAGTTAAATAATTTTCACGTAACGCTACGAGTTTACCCTTGTGTGCCTCAGTCTCGATAAGGTGGGAACCATCATTTTAGGGTCTCTCGAATTTTCAATCTAATTGTCCAAAAGTCTGTATTTCCTGATATGTGGAAAGTAGCTAGAGTCTATCCTATGTCAAAAAGTGGTAATAGTACGAATATCAAAAATTATCGTCCCATATCGAGTTTAAACAATTTTTCTGAGGTTTTGGAGACATTAGTGTATAATCTAATTTATGCCCAATGACAAATCAGCACGGTTTCATGCGACAAAGATCCACCATTTCCATTCTTGTAGAAATTACTCAGTATATAGCTGAAGCTGTGAACAGTAAATAATCGGTTATTTCATATATACATTGATTTCTTTAAGGCTTTTGACAGGATTAACCACAAAATATTAATAGATAAGTTAAAAAAAATTTGTATTTGTGCTTTTCTCACTACATTATTAAAATCATATTTATAAAACAAGAGATAATTTGTTGCTTATAGCGGTTTCTATTCTAAAATATATTGCCCATAGGTGTCACTCAAGGATCTAATTTCTTTACTCTTTTTATTATTTATTATTGTTATTTTTACATCATTAAAGTGCAAACATTTATTGTTTGCTGATGATTTGAAAATTTACTCAAATGGTATTAATTTTAACTATACCTTTGATGTGTTGCGGTATTAAATTTACATTTATGTATTTAAATTTACATTGCAAATGGAGATTCTCTGTTGGACGATAAAGAATTTATTATTATTACAAGGCAACCAGTTTTGACAAGAAAGATATTAAGTTATGATCACTTCCAAAAGCCCTTTGATGGGGGAATTAGTTGTTATCAAGGAATTGAAAAAATGGCTTTAAACAAATAAAATGACTTAAGCTGACAAAATGTTTTGAAAGTTTTGGTAGAATTTTCCCCATAAAAAATTTATAATTTGTACCGAAACAATCAGAAACATCATTCGTCTAGGAACTATTCGCTTTTCAGCAAATATAATTGCAGGGCATTTACTTATAATACTATAAGGAAATATTAAATCTATACATTCAATTATTATGGCTAATTTTTTAATTATTACACAAATCCTTCTTTTAACATTACACAGAAAAAAAGGTGTACTATATTCAAGATGAATGGTCTTATTTCAATGTTTTGTTGTGTTCGTATATCCACAAGTAAAACTCGTCTCGGTTTGAAATTGTAGTAATACTTGTTCAACAATAGCTAATAAGTCTTGCTTCAAGAATAAAACCAACCTGCCCTAACTAAAATACCTCTAATTAAATTAAGAGTATCTATTGCTCAACTGCAGTATTATGTACACCTTAAATGAAATATTCTTACACTTTTTTAAATATACTTTATTTATATTCAATAATACATTGTTCTTAAATCCAATAAAACCAAAACAATAATAATATGAACTGTTCCAAGAAATGTTAATATTAGCTTTGACATAAATGTATTGATTTTGGTTGAATTATAGGATAGTTTCATTGAAGAAATTAATAATCTTAAAATAACAATAGGCTGTTATTTCTTTTTAATAGGGTTCTCACTAGTACCTATCCACCGAAAAACATTTTTAAAAATTGTTTTTAGTTATGTATCAAATTCCTCTGTCCTCTGAGGTGTCCCACTTGTAAAAAATAATTTTATAACTACAAAACCTAAATGGAACATAAAAGTTTGTCCTGCTAAGAGGTCGTATCTACAAAATGAATATTTTTAGTAAATGTGGGTAGCTAGATAATTACGTCCTTTTAGACTTCGCAAATAAGTATTGCATATTTTACCAACCTTTTCTTCAAATTATAGTAAATATTTTCTAATGCAAATATACCTTTATTATTTTGTGTCATAATAAAATAAAATGTAAGCTTATTAAATTTATAAGAATCATGAAATCGTAATTTTCGTAGATACGACCTCTTGTCTTAGCAAGGCAGAAGTCGTCTTTCCAAAAAGTCGTCATCCAGCATCATACATTTTTTTTACTTCTATCCTAGTTTGTTTCGTGTTCTCATGATTATAAATTTACTTATATATAATACAATACCTAACAAGAAGTGAACTAAATATATTTACATTTAAATATTGGTATCAGGTCGCTGAGACCCGATCCATCTAACAAAATTTCCATTTCAATTTAATTTATTCATACACTTATTAATTGAATCACAAAGAATTTCTAATAAAAAGTAGAATGCTATCCTAACGATACGATGCAAAATTGTTAGAAAATGGACAATAGGATGAACACGTGCTAATGCCAATTTACCAGATTCTCTATTAATTCGTTGTGTCTCTGACTTCCGAATAATAAGTATCACATCTCAAAATCTTAAAAATAGATTAACTAAGTCAATTCAAAAGGCAAAAAAAGAATACGCTAAACGTTTAATAGATAAAAACAAAAACTCCTCATAAGGTATGTGGAATTGTGTAAATCAGATAAGCGGAAAGACAAGCCCTAAAACAAAAATAACATCACTTAACTAACATAATGAAATAATTACAGATAAAAACGCCATAGCAAATTAATTTAACAATTTTTTTAGCGACTTAGGGGAACAATATGCGAGAAACATAAAAACACCGGAAAATTT